GTGTGTGATGTATATATGGTGTGTGTGTGTGTGTGATGTATATATGGTGTGTGTGAGTGTGTGGTGTATATATGGTGTGTGTGTAATCCAGGCTGGTCTCATACGCATTAGGGAAGTATAACCCAGGATAACCTTGAACACCTGATCCTCCCAAGCGCTAGCATTACCGAATGTGCCATCACACCTGGCTCACTGGAGTCTGGGGACAGACCCCAGGACAAACACTCCACCGTGTAAGCTGGGCAATGCCTTTCCCCAGAGAAATACAGCCGAAGACCTACAACTTCCTGAGGCCCTCCTCTCCCAAGCCAGGCCAGCCTGCCGGGCTGGAAGCGAAGCCTGAGGATGTCTCAGAACTGTGGGGACCTCGTTTTTATTGGCAGTGTCTTTTAGGGAAGAAAGCACAGTTCTCAAAAATACTAAATGAGTCCCAGCAGCAGGCAAAGCCAGGCACAAAAGGCTGGTTTAAGACGCCCACCCGGTGCATCGAGCCATCGACACCTCAGTCCCCACAAAGTCACAGTCTCCTTGGTCCCCTGAGACTATTACCAGGCTGGCAAGATCCCCAGCATAAAACCAGAACGCAAAAACTAGGCTGTGTCCTTCCTACCTAGAGTTCTCCAATGGCCATTCAGTCTCCCAAGTGGATTAAACCAGGCATCACTCACACACTCACACACACACACACACACACACACACACACATCATTTCTGCTGCTGAGATTACAGCTAAGGCTGGCCTTGAACTTACTATCTAGCCAAGGCTGGCACTTAGGAGCCAGCCTTAGAAGCCCCCGGCTTCTGCCTCCAGAAAGTTGAGGTGACATATGTGGCCCCACACCTCACCCTCAACATTAATTTTAATCTTCATCTTAAAAAATTCTCCCTCGGATAATTTCTTTAATGAAAAATAAAACCACTGTCCCAAAACAATGAACCCAGTATCAGCGCCCAGAAAGAATACCACCATGGGAAGCACACTTTAAACAGGCACCCTGTGCACACCTCCCTGTCGCCCTGGCTCTCGGGGGGCTGAGACAGGAGGCTCTCCAGTTACAGCAGCCAGGGACGCACAGGAAGAGGGGGCGGGGAGGGGGTCTACACTGAGCACCTCGCTTCCTGAGGGCCAGCACTGGGAGCGCAGGGCAGAGCCCGGGGCGCGAAGGGCACGCCACCACGCCTGGCCCTCACCGGGCCGGGGTCTCTCGCTCCTGTGGGCTGGGCAGCCATCTATCTGCTCTCCGTCTACACCACCGGCTCCCCGGCAGTCCAGTCACTGCCCAATAATGCATCTATTTATTTTACCCAGAGGCAGAGCGATTAGCCAGACACACTAAAAACACAAACGTTTCGCTGTGCTTGGAGCAGGTCCAACACTGGTGTCTTGCTGCAGACCGACGCTGCAGGAATACGAAGTGTGGCTGCCATACCCACGGAAGACACGCCAGGCCGGGCCCCACCCACCTGAGGCCGAGGCTAAGCATCCGGAGACCAAGGGAGCCGGCGGGGATTTGAGAAACCCCACCTTAGCCTTAAAAAAAATAAAAAAGAAATACTAAGGCAACCCCCCACTAAAGCTTTCAGAACCTAAAAGGCCTTTTTTTCCTTTCTCCATTCCTTGCTCAGACAGAAAAAGAAAAGCAAGACAACGCCGGGGGACGTGCTGAGGTGGGCTCGGCGAGTCCACACGTGCAGAGCACATTAAACACGGCCCAACGCTGGGTCGAGGTTCCGCTGGGGGTACCGGGGGGCAGGGGCCAGAAGTCAGAGGCGGGAACTGCCAAGGAGGATGGCTAAGGTCGAAGTAAATGAACAGCCGCGGACCCCGGCCCGGGAGGGGGAGAAGCAGGCGGGGGCCCCCCGGCCCGGGAGGGGGAGGGGGAGAAGCAGCCCTTCAGCACGGGTGGGGGAGAAGCAGGCGGCCCGGGAGGGGGAGAAGCAGCCCCTCAGCACGGGAGGGGGAAAAGCAGGCGGGCCCCCGGCCCGGGAGGGGGAGGGGCGGGCCAAGCCCGGTAAACTGTTCCAGATGAGAGCGGCCGAGCGCTCCAGCCCGGCTCTCTCCCACCGCGCTTTGTGAGCCCTGCCCCCGCTCTGCTAGGGCACCCGACAAACCCCGCCAGCCGCGGCTCCCGGGGCCCACGGGGGCTCCGCCGCCCCCTTCCGACCCCTAGGCAGCGGGCGCTGAGCCTCGGGGGTCCGGGTGGCTCCGCCGGCTGAAGTTTCCCCAACTTAAACCGTAAAAACCACCGTCAGAAGTTCCCAAATGCCACGCACACGCAGATCAGAGAGAAGGGAAACGCAGGTCCTGGGCTGGCCGAAAGGGACCTCCGCGAGGCCCGCAGCGGCGGGAGCAGGCTCTGGCTCGGAGGGCGTGTGCCTCTTTGTCACCCACCCGAGGCTCGCGCCGCGCGTGGGCGAGCAGCGGAGAGCCGCGCCCGCGCCTCGGCCCCCTCCGCGGCCCGGGGAGCGAGCTCGGCGGCCGAGGCTGCGGCCCGAGGTCCACGGGCGGCGTCGGGGGCGCTGTCAGCGGGGGAAGGGCGGCGGCGGAGGGCAGGCCGGGCGGAGCGGCGAGCCGGGGGCCAGGCCCCCGCCGCGGTCATTGTTCGCCGCGCGCCTCCTACCTGGGCGGCTCGGGCG